AGCATTAGCAGAAGTTAGTTACACAAGCTCTAAGATAAAGCGTTACAAACACAAATTGCCTGTTGAGCCTGTTTCTGTTAAGCCTCCATCCGCCATGGAGTAAGGTCTGTGTTTTGCAAGACTGAACTCAAAGAAGTGTGTGTGGTCCCAGAAGACCAGAGCAACTCTCTTCCCACTATCTGAGGCTCTAGTTGTTACAAAACAACAGAGCATTTCTGAAAGTACAGGCCAGGTTCTGGTCTCCTGTATCAGTTGAGGAGGAGAAAATTGTTGTTGTTCTTGTTTTAAACTACTAGTCATTTCTAGTTCTATTTGTTCAAGTCATACTCACATTGTGTATTATTTAAAAACAGGTAAAGAAAAATATGAAGACTCTGTAATTTGAATTTTTATAAGCCCAATAATTTTTATTATCCATTCTCATGTCCACTATGGATAAAGAGGAGCTTCTGGGAGCTCACCTACTGCAATAAATGGGCCCCTCGGGTGCACAATGTGAGAGGCTTGTAAAGGCTACGACCGTGTGTATGTGTGTGTGTGTGCACACACATACATGGGAACCTTCTGCTCAAGTGCTGACAAACTAAACTTTCCTTTTTAAAAAAAAAAGTCTAATAAAGAAGACATAAGTTTTTGGATTAGTACTCTAAGAAAGGGATAGGAATTTTTCTTCTGAAAAAGATCACAGAGCAAATCACTTGACGCTCTGTTGCCTTGATACCCCTTTCAGTGCTGCCGCTGCTGCGGGGCAGTAGCATCACGCACAGCTAGCAGGAGTGGATGGCTCTGGAAGGCAGCTATGCTCACTGGTATACCACCAACGCCTCCGGAGTGGACGGTGCTGAGAGAACCTACAAAAGCAGGCAGTGGATCAGGCTTGCTCCATTAGCCGGAGTTCGGCGACCTCTGTTCTCCAAACTGAGATTCAGTTAAGCACAAGGGTGGGAATTAGGTGGATTATGAATTCATAAATCAAGCCATCTTTGAGCCCCTGGAGCTGGCTTTCCCAAGCTGCACCTCTCAAAATCTGAAGGCAATAATTTTGCAAATCCAAACCTAGAGTTCTACAAATCCAGCTCTGGAGAAACGAGCCAGGACTGTGGAAAGGTATGAGAAGACCCAATGCTCTGTAGCTAACATTAGCTTTTACTTTCGTCTCAAGTGTGTGAAATTATGTACAGAGAGTCCTCATTTTACAGCCTACCTGTGTAATGACTGTTCGGATTTACAACTCGTATTTGGACTGAAGATATGGGAACATGGACAGCAGCTCTGCATGGAGTGTCTTCAGTGCGGTATTGTGACTTTTTGCTGATTGTGTGTCCAGTACAGTACTGTAGTTTTATGTTGTGTTATATATCATAGCAAGCTTAGGCAAGTGCATGGACCGCGGTTCGATCCCTGGCACCACATGCCCCGTCAGCCCCACCCCTCGGGCAGGCTGAGTTGGCCAGAGTCCAGGTGTAGCGGTGCACGCCTCTAATCCCAGCGCTGGGGAGGCTGCAAGCAGGAGGACCACCGTGATTCCAAGCTGAATAGTGAGACGCTGCAACAACAAATGCATTAAAATAATAATAATAATAATAATAATAATAATAATAATATAAAGTACAGCCAAAGGACTGTTATTTCTTTTTTCTTTTCTTTCTTTTTTTTTTTTGCGGAACCAGGGATTGAACTCAGGCCCTTTTATTCTACTGAGCCATCTCCCCGGCCCATGGACTGTTATTTTTATCAACCATAATTAGTAGTTATATCCCTGAAGAGTGTTAACAGACTACACTTACATCATTTACAGAGAAAAACCTTAAGACTAAGAGCCACACATAATACTTTAGCAGGACAAATATGATGACATCATTTTTGTAACATACTTAAATATCCATTTTAGTACAATATAGCATTTTGTGTCAATAGCTCCAGCTGATCACAAAATATTAAATGAAACAAAGAAAGCTATCACCTAATTTGTTATCCTTTAATTGGATGCCATCTAAAGAGAGTGTACTGGTATATAAATGTGACTTCGATGTTTATAATGTCTAGCCTCTAATTTTAGTGTGTGATATGTTCAGTTTGTTGCCTGAGCTTCCCTAAGTAAAATGATACCTATAACATACGAATAATGTAATTTTTTAAGTCATTATTTGACTGCTGGTCTCATGCTGGATAGACAGTTAACTCTTATCACCAGTAGCTGGAGCACAAGAGAAAGACAGATATCTGAGTCTAAAAAAAATTATCACCATAAACAATCCAAGTTTAATATCTCAGAAGATCTATATACCTGGAAGGTATGAATGCATTTATTACAATATGAAGTTAGCAATAATGAATTCACAGCTATGTGAATATCTTTTTTTTTTAAGAGAAAAGGTTTATTTAACTCACAAGTTGTAGATGTTTCAGTTCATAATTAGCTAGCACCACGGCAGGGTGGCGTGGCAAATGGGCATTACAGTGGAGAAATGGAAATTCATGTGGGAGAAGGAGGGAAGAAGGGAGGGAGGGGAGAGAGAGACAGAGAGACAGAGACAGAGAGACAGAGAGACAGAGAGAGAGACAGAGAGAGACAGAGAGAGAGACAGAGACAGAGACAGAGACAGAGAGACAGAGAGAGAGACAGAGACAGAGAGAGACAGAGAGAGACAGAGAGAGAGACAGACAGACAGACAGACAGACAGACAGACAGACAGACAGACACAGAGACCGAGAGACAGAATGAAGCACTATGTGAATGTTTTTGTTTCTAGTTTTAGAACATCTTTTAAGAAAACGTGAGTGTTTTACCCATAGAAATTTAACCTCTGGGGGGCCAGGGAGATGTCTCAGTAGAATAAGCAGTAGCCTGGCAAGCGCAAGGGTCTGAGTTCAACCTCTGGTTCAGGAAAAAAAAGAAAAAAAAAAAAAAAAGAAAGAAAGAAAAAGAAAAAAGAAAAGAAATTTAACCTTTGGACAATGAGCAATGTACACACATCACAGTATGTTTAGCAATTTTTATTGGGGTGTGTCTCCCATAAGACTATGGAAATTATTGGGGTTCTGTTAATTCACAAAGACTGGAATGAAAATGTTTCTGGGCAGCTTCTTCTTTACTCATGAAGGGGAATCCTGCCCAGCAGTTTCCTTAAGCTTAAGGCATCTCTATTCAATTGTCTTAAGTTTTTAGGTGACTTATTAGAATGAGATGCTCATGATTATTTTTGACAGATGAAAGGCTCCCAAGTTATACACAGATAGCAATATGTATTGTATTTGTTTTTGTTTGTTTGTTTTGTTTTCAGTACTGGGAATTGAGCTCAGGACCTTGCACTTGCTAAGCAAGCACTTATTCTACTGAGCTATCTCCCTGGGCCTGTATTTGTAAAAAGAAAAAGTCTTGACATCATTTTGATCAGCTGGTCATCTGGGTGGAGGCATATTCTTAACTCTAATGACATGTATGTGAGTCTGATTTATTTCATTTATGAGTATGGTCTCTAGTTGCATCCATTTACCTGTAATGCCTCAAGTTTATCTTTCTGTATAGCTGAGTAATACTCCATTGTATAGAAATACCACATCATTTCTATCCATTCCTTAGTTGATGGGTCTTGGTTTGTTTCCAAGATTTAGCTATTACAAATTTTGCTTCTATAAATGTGGATGCACGTATATTGCTGTGGTATGACATTCCCAATTTTTCTGGAAAAATACCTGGAAGGGGAATATCTGGGTTGAATGGGGCCTCTAATCCTAATTTTCTGAGGAACTTCCATACTGATTTCCATTCTACACCCTCATCAACAGTGAAGGGTTCCCTTTTTCTCCACAGCCTCTCCACCATTTGCTATTGATTGATTTTTTTTTCTTCTTCTTTTAATGTATTTAGTACGGGGTCCACAGGTTCTCACTGCACAGATCAGACTTGTAGTGATCCTTCCTGTTTTTCAGCCTCCCAAGTGCTGGGATTACAGGCATGCACCATCACACCCAGTCTCAAGCACCAAATCAGTGCACCCCAGGGGCAGGACGGGCGCTGCATGCTGGGGATCAAACATCAGTCCCTGTATCTGCCTAAGCAGGTGCTTTAACCTGCTGAGCTATCTGGCTGGCCCAATTGACTGATTTTTTTTTTTTTTATGATAGCCATTCTTTCCACAGTGGGATGCAATCCTTTTTCTCTCTTTTTAAAATTATTTAGTACAGAGCCGGCAGGGTGTACAGGGTCTCACAACGTGGATTGGACTTGTAGTGATTCTCCTGTTTTCAGCCTCCCAAGTGCTGGGATTACAGGGGCGTGCCACCATGCCCAGTCTCAATCACCATCTCAGCATGCTCCGGGGGCAGGGCTGGAGTGGCATGCCGGGTATTGAACCCCAGTCGCTGAGCTCTGCTCAAGCAAGCGCTTTAGTCTGCTGAGCTATCTGGCCAGCCCCAGTTACCCACTTTTGGATCAAGTCTTTGAATTTGGGGGACCTTTTAAAAAATTCTTTATATATTTTAGATAGAAGATCTTTTTCCAATTCATGGGTTTTCTTTTTACTCTATTGGTGATTTCTTTAGATGTGCAGAAACTTTTCAAAAAATGAGATTCCAGTTGTTGATTCTTTGAAGTATTTCCCATGCAGTTTGGTTTTTGTTTATGAACTCTCTGTCTATCCCTATGTTTTTAAGATTTCTATCTACTTTCTCCTCCAGTAGATTATTTATTTATTTATTTATTTATTTATTTATTTATTTATTTGTATTTTAGTAAGGGTCTATAGGATCTCACCATATAGATCAGACTCACAGTGATCCACCTGTGTTCAGCATCCCAAGAGCTGGGATTACAGGTGTGCATCACCAAGCCCAGTCTCAGTCATTGTCTTAGCGCATCCTGGGGGTGGGGCTGGCCTGGCAGGCCAGGGATCGAACCCTGGCTGCCACGCTCTGTTTAAGCAGGTGCTTTAATCCACTAAGCTATTTGGCCAGCCCTCCAGTAGATTTGGTGTTTCTGTTTTATTTATTTATTTTTTTTTTGGTGGTTCACGTTTTATTTCTCCAGTGACATATTTACAGCAGAATATAAATTAAAGGCCTGCTTGCACACCAAACCCAGGTCCTTTAGGCGGTTCCGTCAGTGAGGTAAGACCTCCTGCTGGCTCACAACTGAAACGTCCACTTCTTGGTTCAGGTTTGGGAATTTTGCCAGCTTTCAACTCATCAATAATTTCTTCAATATCTTTAGGTGTCAGATCCTCATAATAGTTGTCATTTATTTGAACCATTGGTGCATTTACACAGGCCCCTAAACATTCCACCTCTATAAGAGTGAAAAGTTTGTCGGGTGTAGTCTCTCCAACTTTTATTCCCAGCTTTTTCTGAATGGCCTCCAGGACGCTGTCAGAGTCTCGGAGCATGCAAGGTGTACAGTGCAGACCTGAATGTGGTGCTTCCCAACTGGCTTCCGGTTGTACATTGCATAATAAGTTGCTACTTCATATACTCTCATTGGAGGTACTTGTAAAACTTCTGCAACCTTGTTCATAGCAGAGATGGGCAACCAACCATTCTGCCTTTGGGCTGAGTCCAGGACTGGAAGCACTGCTGCTGCTTTATGCCCTTCTGGGTAGTTTTTTATGATTGCTTCTATCCTCTTATAGTTTTCTGGTGTGAAATCAAAAGGAGTTCCCGGATTATTCTCAGGAGTATCTCTGTGCACAAACAAGGATCCTCCAGCACCATTTTGCACAGCTGTCTTTTGAAAATTCCTTATTTGCCTTCCCCACGAGGCGGTGAGGCCTGCCGCCCGGGCCCGCAGCGCCAAGGAGAACATGGCGACCCCGCGGTCCCCCTTGCCAGGCCGGAGGCCCGAATCCCACAGCACGGTGTTTCTGTTTTAATATTTAAATCTTTGATCCAGTTTAGCTATAGTTTAGCACATGGTGGTAGACTTGGGAGTAATTTTAGCCTTTACCATGTGGAAAATGAGCTTTGCCAGCACTATTTATTAAGGAGTCTAGTTTTCTTACAGTGAATATGTTTGGCTCCTTTGTTAAAGATAAGATGGCTGTGTATGTATGTAGCTGTGTCTGCAACTTCTAATCTGTATCATTGAACCTCAGGTCTGGTTTATTTTTTAATGCCAGTGCCATGCTGGTTTAATCACAGTAGCTTTGTAGTATAATTTCAAATCGGGGATAGTGATGGCTTTCTGCCTTTCCTTTGTTGTCCAGGATTGCTTTTGTTATTCTAGATATTTTTTAGTTTCAGATGAATTTTGGGATTGTTTTCTCTAGATCTATAAGATATACTAATGGTATTTTAATTGGGATTGTGTTGAATCTGTACAACAATTTTGGGAGTATGGTCATTTTCACAATGTTTGGTTCTTCCTATCCATGCACAAAAGATGCCTTTCCATTTTCTGATACAAACAGATACTACACTTGATCTTAGCCAAAGGCCGAGAAGCGATACCTTTCCATTTTCTGAATATTCTTTGATCTCTTTTTTCAGAGTGGTGTAATTTTCAAACTGTAGATCTTTTACTCTCTTTGTTAGATTGATACCTAAGTATTTCTTTTTTGGATGATTGTAAGGGGATGGTTTCTACCTATTCATTAATACTTGTTCTAATTTATAATTGTTATTAAACTCACAAGGTTCCCTAGGAATGTTTTGTTCTATCAATGAATTTAATTGTGTTATAAAAATCAGTCAGTCTGTCCTGTGCTATAAAAGCCAATCAGCATCATTCTTGAGTGGGGAGTGAAGAAGAGTTAATCTCAAGTTCTACCTAAGGACTGAAAGGCAGATAAACTTGGACTAAAACTTTTACATCTGTTCTTTGAGAATTCCAGGTTCCAATCTAGGCCAGTTTTTTAAATATGACCCAGAGATAAGGAAGGTAAATTTTATCTGGAAGAGTCCCAGTTGGGGGAAACTCACCATTCTGGAAACTTGGTTCTGAAATCCAGCAGCCACAAAAGTGAGAATAGCCTTGGACCAAATACTGTTGTAAACTGTATTCTCTCTCTCTCTCTCTCTCTCTCTCTCTCTCTCTCTCTCTCTCTCTCTCTCTCATATTTAGGACAGGGTCTACAGGGTCTCACTGCATGGATCAGATGCATAGTGATCCTCATGCTTACAGCCTCCCAAGTGCTGGGATTACAGGCATGTGCTGCCACAGCCAGTCTCAATAGCAAGATGGCAGACCTGGGAATCGATAAACTGTATTATTTCTCAAATGTAAGACAGTGAAAAAGACACAGAAGAGTGACTCCAAGTATGGTACACGAGCAAAATCCTAACCATCTCAGGTGCAGAAAGACAATTAAGCTGAAGAGCTTTTCCCAGAGTGGATATCTAATCCTTAGCAAAACATGCCTGCAGAGATAAAATCTATGATTGACTCTAACTGCCTTGTCAAGCAGAAAGATCAATAATCAAAGACCTGAATGGCTGCTTTTTAACCTTTTGAAAAAGAGAGAGAAAATAAAGCTATTCCAGCTATCTATATTATCTTAGGGCTTACTTTCTAACAAATGACTCTGAATCAAAAGTTCTAAAATCTCAGCCTACAATTGAGATCTTCTACCTCTAGGGACAGGCAAAGGTATCTAAGAGTCCAGGAGAAATCTCAGCACTGGGACAAAAGGGTCCCAGTGCTGAGCATTTTGGGTTCTCTACCTAGTCACCTAGTGACTTAGGTAACTAAGGTGACCTAGGTAACCATGCTGACTAGACTCTATTTTTATTGATTGATTGTATTTAGTACAGGGCCTACAGGGTCTCACTACACAGATCGGACTTGTAGTGATCCTCCTGTTTTCAGCCTCCCAGGTGCTGAAATTACAGGCGCGCACCACCATGCCCAGTCTCAATTGCTATCTCAGAGCATCCCAGGGGTGGGACTGGCACAGCATGCTGGGGATCGAACCCCGGTGCCTACACTCTGCCTAAGCAGGTGCTTTAGTCCACTGAGCTATCTGGCTGGCACTTTAGGCTCTATTTAGATCTACTCTGAAAATACGTATCCCTGGCTATCTATAATACACTTCAGAAACTCACAAGCTAAATTCTGTACTCACTACCTCTCATTAGAAGTCAGTGTTTGATTTAAGCATAAATTACATCTTTCCAGTCTAGTTCCTAGGTCGGAGTCAAAATCAGTCCTCTATAGACCTCAATTTACTTATCAACATCATCTGAAAGCTTTCTCGAATCTTGCTTGATCTGTTTTAAGTCACGTTGGAAAAGATGCATGAACATGGGTCACTCCAAATTCCCTATTTACTTCCTGTAAGGGATATTTTCCTTGAGAAGCTTGAACAAAATCAGATAAGGATAAATACAGTCTCACGGGAGGCTTTAATTATGGCTGGCCTAGAAACTCTATGCTCAAGACCTGAAGGACAAGGAGAGGAAGCCTCAGCCTCAGTAACAGTGAGGGAGGCTTTAATTAGACCTCCCTAGTAGACCTCCCCTTAGGTTCTAAAGCATGAGGAATACTAGGCTCAGGCTCAGTGATAGTGGGTGCCTTCAGGGCCAGAGTGTTAGGTTTTTCTGTGGCTAACATTTACATAAGTGCTATTTCTTAATGCAAAGGAAGTCTAAACATAAGGTCATTCTTACCATTTCTTCCTCTTTCTCACAGTATCATTCTAGTTGTAAATACTTCCCTCTATATTCCATTTTACTCTATGGTGTAGGCAGCCTATGTGTGTGTGCCAAAAAATAAATTGCTTTTCTTCCACGTGTCGGGGGTGAACCTTCTCTAGTGCCTTAGAATACCTTCCAATGGAATAAAGGATTTTGACATTGAGTTTCCCATCAACAATGCAAGAGAAAACAACTGGTGTTGTTTTTAATTTCCACCTTTTGGAGTGAGTCCCTGAGGTGATTTGCTCCAGAGCAGGGGACTCTCATCTGGAGGAGAGAAGATACATCATTGCTGGATTAGCCACCTTTACTGGCTCATAACACTATCTTCTTTGGAAACTAGCATTGTTAACTCCAGCAGCTATTTTTATTTATTTACTTTTAAAATTTAGTTCAGGGTGTACAGGGTCTCACTTCACAGATCAGACTTGCAGTGATCCACCTGTTCTCAGCCTCCCAAGTGCTGGGGTTATAGCCACACGCCACCACGCCCAGTCTCAGTCACTGTCTCAGTGTGCCCTGGGGGTGGAGCCAGCACAGCATGTGGTGCTCAGGGATTGAGCCCTGGTTCTAGCAGGTGTTTTTAAAACCACAAGTTAGGGGCTGGGGAGATGGCTCAGTAGAATAAATGCTTGCCTGGCAAGCGCGAGGGCATGAGTTCAATCCCCGGTTGCAAATAAATAAATAAATAAATAAATAAATAAATAAATAAATAAAATCACAAGTTATAGCACTGGGTGTAGTGGTGCATGCCTGTATTCCCAGCACTAGGGAGGCTGAGGCAGGAAGATCCATTCGAGTTTGAGACCAGCCTGGGCTACAATGTTAGATCAAGATAAGCATCAACTGCATAGAGAGACCCTGTCTCAAAAAAAAACCAACCAACCAAACAAACAAACAAAAAAAAAAACACAGGTTACAATTGATCTCAGCTGTGTGGTCATGTTTAAAGAAGAAATCATTGCTTAACTGTTGTCTAGTTCTTTGAAAAGGAGACTCAGGCAAATAAGGTCATCACTTTTCATCCTGTAAAAACGATCAATCACATCTAGAGGTAGACAGAGTCAAGCAAATGGCTTGGAGAAATCCTGTCCTGAGTTCTAGGGAGCTTCAAGGGATTTGTGTTAACTACTCACCACCTAGGGAAGCTTTCTTTGTAGCAAGACAAGGTTATATTTTCTTTCTCTTTCTTTGTTCTTTTAAAAAAAAATTTATTGAGAAACAAATAGCAATGAGACAGTTTCAAAACCAATTAGTAGGGGCCGGGGAGATGGCTCAGTGGAATAAGCACTTCCCTGTCAAATGCAAGGGCCTGAGTTCAATCCCCTGTTCCGTTAAAAAAAAAAAATTAGTAAGACAGTTACAATAATTAATACATTACATATTGTTGTCTTCTTAGTGGTTATTCATAGTACAAGATACAGACATGATATCCTGTCCAAACACTATTAGTATAAATCTTTCTTCTCATTGAATTAAGAGAAAATAGCTGTATATCTATCCTATTTTGTACATACAGATACAAAATGGCCCTTCATTTGTATCCCCTTTTCTTGTTTAGTTTTGTCAGAGATGGGTATTCCATTGCCATTTAAATATTGTAGGTGCGTGAATTCAGCAAAAAAAATAATAATCTAATATAGTCCAGCAGTCCATAATAGTAGTGGGTTACCCATAGGACTGGCAATGTGAGACATTGTTGACTTGAGTCTTTTACAGATCAGCATATTAATATGGCTTTATTTTTTTATTTTATTTTATTTTTTATTTTTTGGCGGAACCGGGGATTGAACTCAGGCCCTTGCACTTGCCAGGGAAGCACTTATTTCACTGAGCCATCTCCCCGGCCCCTTATTATTTATTTATTTATTTTTTGGCTTTTCTTTTTATACTTTGTTTTTATACTTTTCTGCTGGATGGTTAAGACCAAGATGAAGCAAGACCTATATAACAAGGAATGTAACTTCTGTATCTGACAAGGTCAGTCAAATCCCCTCAGGATTTACCCTGAAACCCTGTACCACAGTTTGTAGATCCTTTGTCAGTGTCAGCCATATGGATGAGTCATGGCCATTGCTTGACCAGTTTGCTGTCTGTGAATAAGGCTATAGTTTTTAAAGTCAATTTTAAAATGTCTACATCTTTGAAGCTCACAGGTTGAGTACACCCATCACCTAGCGGCAGCAGTTAACATGTTAGCAAAGGCATACCTATC